TATATATATAAACAAACATATCTATCTCAGGGGTGCGCATAATAATATTTCAGGAGCCAGTCTGTCCAATCCAGGAGCCAGCTCCATTAACAACTAGAGAAAAACCCAAAAGTTAAGAATTAGCTGTCATTTTTAAGGAACATTGGCTATCTGGCTCCTGGGATTTGTCCAGTTCATATATACAGTATATGGTATATATGATACATATATTTATCATCCCACTTTAAAATTAAACTGATGACTTTCCATAAACTGACTAACCAGGTTCTATTGTTCTTTTACAGCAAGAAGAACTAAATTCATTCTTGTGGACCGTTAAAAGAAACCCTCCTGCTTATCTCTTTGGAACCATCCATGTACCGTACACCAGAGTTTGGGACTATATACCCCAGAACTCCAAAAAAGCTTTTCAGGAGAGCACTAATGTGTACTTTGAGCTGGACCTGACGGATCCTTATACAATTTCAGCACTAGCTAGCTGTCAAATGCTCCCGCAAGGGGAGAACCTGCAGGACGTCCTACCCAAGGACCTCTACCGCAGACTCAAGAGACATTTGGAGTATGTCAAGTTAATGATGCCTCACTGGATGACCCCAGACCAGAGGGGCAAGGGTCTCTACGCAGATTATCTGTTTAATGCCATTGCTGGGAACTGGGAGAGAAAGAGACCAGTGTGGGTGATGCTTATGGTGAACTCTTTAACAGAGGCAGACATCAGGTCTCGAGGAGTACCTGTCTTGGATTTATACTTGGCCCAAGAAGCAGACAGGATGCGGAAGAAGACTGGAGCTGTGGAGAGGGTAGAGGAGCAATGCCACCCCCTTAACAGGTTAAACCTGTCCCAGGTAGGACCCCAGATTTCTTTATTACCTTCCTGAAGCCAGATCAGCAATGGAAGATGTTTTGTGAGCTGTATTTTCCTTATGTGTGAAATTATGCAAAAGGTTCCTCAAGCTTTGGGGTTAAAGTGCATATTGAAAATGTTTATTTGTGAATGATGTTTCTCATAAGGACTTTAGTATTTTGATGCTCCTTACTACGTATTATGACTTGCTCTGTTACTTAATCATCACAAATGACTATCCAATCTAAAGAATTCAGTGTGACATGTACTAACTGTAGACACAATCCTGAACGATATCTCAGCTGGTCATAGATATTGGTTGGACATCCAGGAATGATCCAAGTACCCAGCAATCATTTCCTAACAGAATTTTGCATTTAAATTTGCATGTAAAGCCTAAACTTCCTTATTTGCTGAAGATAGAGTAGGGAAGAGTTAAAACCCCTTATTTTTGTGCTGTCTGTGCCCTGCCAGGGAGATTTCCCTTTACTACCTGTTTAGAGATGCAACAGGAAATGAGAGGAAATCTTGCCAAAGTTAACAGAATATCCGTCTTAGGCCTTGTTCCCATGGGTACCTGAGAGGCTGTAAAAGAGTCAATTGATCTGTGATTTTACTGCCCACCAATAACTTAATATAGGGGTTGCTCATGCGTGTACATATGCCATGGGCAAGATGCTTTGCATCACAGCATGGCAAATTTTAAACAGCGTGCCATATTTAGAAGGTGTCCATTTGCCAAATGTGACCATGTAATCAATGGAACTGAGCCACAAACCTCCTTGCGGTCGCTGTTGTGGAGCAGTATTGCAATAATAATTCCACATTGGGATAATAAAAAAAAAATGCATTCAGGAGGTAGCAGTATCCTGTCCTGAGCACTGGGCAGCCCCTGCTCAGGGGCTGGTGGAGCCTGCCGCCGTGCACACAACACCTTAGAGAGTAGTATTAGGAACATGTGTTCCTATTGAAGGATTTTCTTTTACCTCAGATTTTGTTTGGATTTCTTCTCACTTTCTGCCTTGGTGACAATGTAGGGCTGAATCTCTCCAGCGGTGTCCCAGACAGCAATAAAAACTCTTTCTTACACTCTCCAAAAACGTAAAAAAATATACACTTTAATAAGTATGCTCATATGGTATGGTATGCTCATATGGTACAACTGTGTATGTTAACCTGTTGGAGGAGAGGGAGTAGACACATACGGTTTTATCAGAACTTCTAAAATCCAACCCAAAATTACATTTCACATGTCTTGCCTGAGGAAGGGGATCCTATGTGACCCCGAAAGGTTGCACTTGTGTGATATGTTGCATTCACATCAATAAAGACGTATCATATCTGTAATTGGAGTACCGGTGTTCTAGTCATATCATGTGCATTGGACCGTGCCATCCGTTGACCACCGCTGCACCCACCTTCTCATTCTTAGATTAAGCGGTCAGGAGTGCGATGGGTATATGGAGTTCACAATTAAAACTGGTGCACTCTAGAACAATTGGCTGCAGGTGTCCACTGCTATTCATGGCCATAAAGACCTTTACCAGATCACCAACGATCGTCCCATGTGCCACCAGCTGTGAATTTACATGTAGACCAATTGAGGTGCGTACATTTTTGTGCCATAAGTGCGAAGAAGCAGTCACTCTTAAAGAGTATCTAACCCAAGCAGTCACTCTTAAAGAGTATCTAAAATGTAATTATTAGTGCTCATAAATGGAGGCTCATCCAGTGATCTAGAGCTAGTAACACACCTTATGTCCTAGGCTGACAACACCCACCCTACTGTATCACTGGAGGAGCAACGTTGTCACCCTAGGAAAGGAAGCATGTGAAGACTACTGAACCCGTTCCCCTCTCGTCATCTCCATAACATTGGAAGATATGTTCTGTTGTCCACCACAGAGAGAACAGGGAACCATGTAACTGATAAGAGCACAGGCAGAGAGCATAGGGAGTTATCAGCAGGATCAAGAGGTATTTTTTGCACTTCTTAAACAGGTATAACAAGATTTTTTATATGGTATATTTAATGGAAAAAACAGGACCAAATAAGAAACGTTCATTGTTAGGGTTACATACACTTTATACTTAAACAATATCCAGGCTTACAAAACACAGAAATATTCAAGGTGACCTGCTACAGGTTTTACTGCCAAATCACTCGATCCCCTTGTATGGTCACTCACTTTAAGTATCAGTTGCACAATCTGCTGTAGCTCTGCCCTTGGTGTCAATGCACAAATTAAAAGCACCCATGTAGTAGGGTCTGGGTGGTTCAACATGGACGTATGGCCAATGTCACAGAACGAGACTGCAACGCTCAGCCTTGACCTTATCACCAGTGACACAATACATACACTTTTCAACAATCTGGATTTTATCATTATGCCTGAATGGGAATTCTCATTAACAGAAGGCTTGTTTCGTTGATACTTTTTGAAAGTGGGAAAGAATTTAGCATTGTACCCCCTTCCTCTCACTACAGGGGTTATCCAAACAAAGTCTATTAACTATGTTATCGCCAGCAGCCTATGTTGATAATGTTACATAGGAAGGAGATTAACGCTGCTGTATCACGATCATTCCTTTGAAAATCAGGTATTGATGATTTGTTTGAGTTTTGCTTTTAGATATATTTTATTTCTCTACGATGATTCTGGTTTCTGCTTTCCATGAGATAGTAGCAGCTGATGTTTGCTCAGGTTAAAGATACCCACAGGCAAAAAAACCCCAGCTTTTTGAGTTAAGCATTTGCTCATCTAAGGAAGATGGTTGGGAGAAGAAGGGATTTTTGTCCTTAAATTTTATTTTCTCATTTGTTTGTTTTATCTAAAGATAATCAATGAGCACAATATATTTGCATTTCCTATAGCTGGAAACATTAGCTGGATGTTAAGAACCGCGTATTTAAAAATATTTTTTGGGAAAGGAAAATAGAAGTATTTTATTTAAATGTTATTGTTTGTTTTATTTTTTAAGTGTACAAACATTTTAACTGATGTTTTATGTTATTTCTACAGTATTTATATCACATAATTATTTTACCAACAAACATTTAACATGAGGTGCATCTTTGCCAGCCTTGCACTTCTGCTTGCATGTACACTGTGTATAACCCAGGCTGGACAAATCCCAGGAGCCAGGTAGCAAATGCTCCTTAAAAAATACAGCTGGTGCCTAAAGCCTCATTCACACGAGTAACGGCCGGCACGTATAACTCTGTGCTGCATGCACGGCCGTATCGGGCAGCTCCCGGGAAGGACAGGTGCTGCGTGTGATTAGTACACAGCCCCTGTCCTTCTCTATGGGACTACGCAGCCGTACGCCACCCTACGCTCACCCCGAGTGCAGGTCCGTACGGGTGCGGGTGTCCCAGCTTGGACGCAGACAGGATCCATCCTGGCATTGTACAAGTACGGACACCCGCATAGACATGCTGGGCGGGTGAGTGTAAGGTGGCGTATGGCCACGTACTCCCATAGAGAAAGACAGGGGCTGCGTACTAATCACACGCAGCACCTGTCCTTCCCGGGAGCTGCCCGATACGGCCGTGCACACATCACGGAGCTGTACATGCCGGCCTTTTCTTATGTGAATGAGGCCTAACTGTTGAGGCTTTTTTTGTTGTTGTCTATGGAGCTGGCTCCTAAGAAAAAATCTTGCAGGCCCCTGGATTATACAAAACCCCTTGGTATGACTCGGTAACATGATGCCCCATATCCGCCTGCCACACACACTCTTTCAGTTGACTAGACCTGATAGGCAGCCCAACCGCCAACTTAAAGAATTACTCCAATAAAACTTTTTATTAACCCTTCCATTGGGGCTACCCCCACACTGCAAGGGTTATGTGCTAGGCAAAAAAAATAACAAAGTTATATTCACCCAAAGCTTTGAGCCGGCCAGCTGTCATAGAGCTCCCTCCTACCTGTCACCTCCTTCACAGCAGCACTGGAATCTTCCTCAGCGTCCTCATGTCTATACACTGTGTATAGACATTGATGATTTATGGAACATTAGAGCGCTGGAGAGGAGGGGGAGATACACTCGAAGGACCGGCCTAAGAAGAAGCCTGCTCAGAATACAGCTCAGTATTTCTTTTTTTTTTAACCTAGACACAAACAACCATTTAACCCTTGCATTGCAGAGGTAGCCCCACTGCAAGGGTTAATGAAAAAAAAATTTCTTTAAGTAGACCTCGTGGCAGGCTAACATCGCTGTTGCTAATTGCGAGGAAGTGACTTAGTGTTGTCAGCCTGCGATAGGAAGTGCTGCTACTGGCAGGATCTCTATGTAGGAAATTTAGCGACAGATTCACAAAAAAACATTTCCTAAAAAACTGTATACAGTGAGACACGATGCCAAACATGCTGAAAAATTGATTGGGTTCTTGTTCACTACTGTGCGATTTTAAGCACTCCAGCCACTGCTCAACAATGTATAACAAAAGGAATCCCATTATTTTCAATTGGGCCTATTCAGACCTATGCATTGCATTGCGACTTGGTACTTCTTTTGGTACTACAAAGTGCGTTTTTAGCCCCATAAACTTTTTGGAAGCGCATGAAAAACTTGTATTTATGTACTAATATATGCATTTGCGTGATGACAGCAAACCAGACCCCCTTCCAACCTTTACTTTATTTCACCTTTAGTGGCCAAAATAAAAATGTATAATGCTTTAAAATGCATTACAAATTCATTGAAATACATACATAAAATACATACACAAGTGTGCAGCAAAAATGCACAAAACAATGCATGAAAATGCAGGCAGAATGGAGACGTAGGGTTTGCATGCACTTTAGCACACAAACTACAAAAACAATTGCTTTTAAATGCTGTTTATTTCCTTCATGAACTCATAGGAAGTATGACTGAGGGTGTACAAAGCACATCATTAACCTAACATGATCTGTGCTGAAAGGGTCCCATCTCTCCCACCTCAGCAAGTTATGATTCTGTGATTCTCTTTGTATACATTGGAGTACATAGTAT